CGTTTCATTAGAGAAGAACCCGTCCAGAAGACCTATACAATTTATTTATTTTTGATTTTTTTACCTGGATTACTGAGATGCATCAGGACATAAGATTAAAATGTGTAATTTCACAATGAAAATAAACAATAATTCATGAATAAACAGCAACTTCAGTACAGGTTAGTTAAATTTAAAGGTAGATTTTAGTCCCCCCAAACCTAAACATTAAAAATAGTTTAAGTCAAAAAACACATACATTATAATTTTATATAATACTTACCGTTAAGCAGATGAGGAAAATCCAGAAAAGACAACAGATTTGTTGCAGTTTTACAAAGTAAGACTGAACTGAGCCTGACTGGAGACAACGGGTCTGATGAGCTGATTGGATTCAGGTGTGTCAGAGGACCAGCGGTTCAGAAGCTCTGCCGCCCTCTAGTGTCCAAACACAGTCAGTGCACCTTCTGGAGATATGTTTTAAAACCGGTCAAGTGTTTTCTGTTGTATAAATTAGTAGTTTTATGGTGCCATGTTGTCTAACTGTTAGCAAAATATCTCATAAACCACAAAACAGATTTTCTTGCAACTTCTTCCTCTGTCATTCGGCTACAATATGACGAGTCAGCAGTACGTTATTTTCCTCAACCTGAGATTTAGTGTAAAACTATCATGAAAGTCTGCGAGCAGTTTGCTTTTCTTCAAAGAATTCTGGGTCTTTATTAGATACAGTTCATAGAAACTGTAAGTTTTATTTGGATTGTCCAGAAGAAATTGTGTTACAATAGAGTGAAACACAGGTCGATAGACTCAGTTTATAGAACGTACATTGGAAATAAAAGCTCAAACTGCAGTGGAAACCTGTGGAACTGATTCAAACCAGTTCTTTACATATATATATATATTATTTTTTTCAGTGTTTAACAGGAGCACAACAGTAACGGTATAGACAACAATACATCAGTCATATTTGTTAAGAGTATTACATGATAAAGTCAGGTGATGGTTCGAACGTGTAGATTTTGGATCCATGATTCAAATTACAGCCAGAACTGACTCCTCCTCCATCACAGAATGTAAACGCTCTTTTTATCCAGCAGAGCTGTTGTAGATCGTGGTTACAGGTCAGAAAGCTGCTCGGCAACACAGACGAGTCCAGCCAGAAGCGTGAGCGACACATTCAGCCACCGTTAAAGGAAAATAAAGAGATCAAGGATAAATATCTATCAGAGACAAACGTGTGGTTGGATCTCCGACAGGAATATGTGTGCAGATAGGCTCTTTGTTGGTGTTGTTGCTGACATCTAGTGTATGAAAAGTGGATAAACATAGACTGTTACAACATTCAATATGCCGACCCGTCAGTCATGTTACAAGTGTTTTTTACTGCTAAAGTAGGTGCGATCACCCCCCAAATTAGCCTTAAACCTTAAACAACATTCATGTGTGAGCACAACGGTTTCTCTGTTCTTGTGAAGCGGCGACACAAACGCAGCATCAACTGAAATCCTGAGTGAAAAAAAGGCAGCTTAGCAGGACAATTCAATGCTTTTCAAAGTGTGTGTTTGTGTTGAGGGGACAGTTCAGATATCTTGATGTGGGGTTCTGCAGTAAAATTATAAATGTTCCTCCTGGGGTCCACCGCTCTTTTAACAACCTCAGTTTGGAGAAATGGTTTTATAGCTAATCCAGGAGTGTCCAATCCTGCATGTTTTATTTGTTCCCCCTGCTCCAACACACCTGATTCAGTGACTAAATTACCTCTTGAAGTTCTGGATACTGGATCTCGGGGACCAGGATTGGACACCCACTGGTCCATTTTAAGTGGATGGCTGCCATCCAACACTGAATCATTAATTCTRCAGAAATATTTTTCTACAAGGTGTGCACTAAAGATGCTACAGCTAGCTGTCGCCGCTGGTATTAGCACTAAAGAAATGTAGATTAGCGTTATATTAAGGCAACAGTAATCCACTGTGGTTTCCTGGAGCTGCTCAGTTAGAAATGCCCTGGGTTAATGATCCAAATCCTCRCACTGAATCAGGAATCAAAYGATTCAATTCAACAAGTCCTGAGTCAGACTGACGTCAGGTCTGCAAGTTGGYGAAGTTGCTGGTAAAACAGCTGAATCAACAGAAACTCTGTGTAGGGGTCTCTGCAGGACATAGTCGGAGCTTCTTGGTGTGTGGGCGGAGTTTGAAATATAAGYAGAGAGTKRGCRGAGTTTAGCGAAACAGTGATTGGTCAGATAGACTCGTCTTTGTGAGGGGTAAGTTAAAAGTTGAAGTACTGGTAAAACTATTGTGAACATGTAAATTTATTAACTATAGTTTCAAACAAAACAATGTCTGAAAAAATATTATAAATATGTAASTATAATTAACTGACTTTAAATTTTGTGCAGCTAGCACCTTCCTGTCTTGAGTTAGGACTAAAAATAAAGGTGCTTTCTGGCTGCTTTGACTGAGCTACACGACCCTCCAGCAGCCCAGCGTTCATCCAATCAAGTAGTTATGGCTTCTTCAAACCCCACCCAAAATACTTAATCTGACCAATCACATCTTTAACTCCTCYCACATAAACATCTGTAAGCTGTTTGTTTACCGTTAGCTAATCAGTCTGGTCAGAAATAAAAACTATTTCTCCAAACTGGCGTCCTTTAAAAAAACTGTCCAGCAGGTAAGATAGTTATTGTTTTTAATCAAACCTCGTTTCTTAAGGTCTGATTCTAAAGTGAGCTGATAAGGTGTTTGTGAATTATAAGATGCTATATTAGCTACGCATGATGTTTGCTGTAAGACATTATGGGTGAGAACTCTCTTGGCACACCTGAAGCACCTTTAACTCTTCAGGTAACAAAACGGCATGTAAATATCTAATAAACATCAACACCTGCTCCGACACAAGCTCATTACAAAATATGAATCAAGCCAGTTCCAACCAGCAATTAAAACACCATACKTATACAGAATATACACAAATAAATTAAGTTTAAATAAATAAAAACAATAGAAAAACACAAATAAAAACAAGTAAAATAATAATTGTTACATTTTACAAAAGGCATTAGTTTGACAATCTGAACTTATTAAGTATGAAGACGATACAAAAGCAGCAAATTTACAGACGTGAATTAATTTTGTTTTGTCTGGAGGACGGTTCTTGTTTGAAATAAATGCGTATTCCATTTACTGATTTTAGGCCCCGTCTGCAGTACTGGGAATGTCTTTAGAAACAAACCAATTTGGTGCTGGTTTTACAGAAGTTTGGCATTTTAAGGCAAAACCACTCTTCAAATTCACTTTGATTTTTCTTTAAATATTTGTCCACAGAGCTGACCCCAAACTACCTATATAAGTGACAGCAATTCAAGCTAATTRAATATAGCACAACAAGCTAAACTCTGCAGCTTTATGATTTAGGACTGTTGCCTACTTTGAGTTTTTATTTAAATACCAAACATAACTATGAAGTTAAGACTTGCAGATCCCTGCAGCTGAAAACCCTTTAAAAAAGGGCTTCAGGTACAGAGACATGTGCTGCTGCTAATTCATGTAGCCATGGATATTTAAGTTCATATTTCCATCAGTTCTATGGTTCAGTTAGAAGTGAGGTGCACGTATTCTGACAAAACTAAATCAATTTGTTCAAAGAAGTCTGTTGTAGTGTAGACGAAGCCTTATTTTTAAAACATGATAATAAAAATACAGAACTTCCCAACCCAGATACGAGTTTGCAAACAAATACAAAACAGCAGCGTGTTGAGTGGTGCTTCTTTATATTCGTGGACAATCATGAAGACAGTCTTAACCACAGGTCAAAAGGTAATATTTGTGTAAAAATAACTGTCCTTAATATCATATTGTCAGCGTAGTCCAGTTCTTTAGTCGCCAAGAAACTCTCGTCCTTTGAAGTCACTCGTCTTTCGCCCATTTCGAGTTCGGTGTCCCTAAAAAGCTACGGAAGATCCGTGACCCAGATTCAGAACTTGTGAAATGTGTGTCAGAGTAAGTCTGTGTCCTCTAAAGCAAACCAGGTCAGCAGATATGCTCCACTTTTATCCAGAACGTCCCCCAGTTCTGTCTCGTCTGAAGATGGGACGTGTTTGTTTGGTCAACAAAGTCCACTCTCGGGGGATCTTTTTCTTTTACTTCATTTTCTTGAATGTGCTTTTTCTTTTTTGTAAATTATGTTAAAAAGTAAGCAGAGAGAGCTGGAAGGAGGCATCAGAAACTGGCTGAATAATCTGAATAACTAATCCTTTCCTCACTACTGCAGCAGGTTTTGTGTGCTTTGTATGAAAATACAAACACTGATGGCTGAGAGCGCTAACCGTGTTCCCTGGATCTAAAGTCCAGGAGCAAACTCAAAACGAAGGACAAACCTCCAAATCCCTCAGGATTCTGATCTGCTCCCTCGTCTCATTTTTTATTTTTTGATCTTGAATATTCGCGGGTCACAACTGTTCAGCAGAGCGTTTAGCTCTAATTAGCTAAATTAGCAGCGTTTCCATGCATCTCTATGCCGGCAAACTTACTACACATTTTATATTTAGGCGATGTTTTTGAGAGCATTTGTTTGTTGGTAACGGTTCTTCAGAACCAGCAGGTAGCAGCTCGGCACAACCTGACCAAAGCAATTTTCAAGGGCAGGAAATGATCATAGTGATCGTGGAGTGAGAGTTATTTCAGTTTATTTTTCTGCCGTTTTATTATCTGCACTAAAAGATAAAAAAGCTGTTGGAAAGTCTGATTTTTCTTCTATTTTTAGGACAAGAACGACAGCTATGCTCGACAGCTCACTTCACATGCAGTCCAACAATTTGGACATAAAAGAGACAAAAGTGGTGATTTTCTTCATGCCAAAATGTTTTGATATAGATTATATCATTTATTGTTTTTCTCCTCCTTTTGCTCATATAAATAGTAGGAAATAACACCTTATTTGATGGTGGCTACCTTAAAAGGTTTTATGTTTATGTCTGTTCCTCTTTGACTCACTTTATTGGCAATTTGTCCAGATCTTGTTAGATTTTTTGTTCTTAAAACTAAAGAATCTCAATATAAATAAGTGTCTGTTTTTATTAAACATAATCATTGGAGGGAAAACCTAAACCCATAGGTGATGAGAGATGAGGGATAAATGGAGGTAAAATCTGACCACAGCATCAGGAACACAGAGCTCCATCGCAGTGACAGAGAAAGACACCAAATTATGCTCAGTTTACAAAAGAAAGAACTTCCTTTACTCTCATAAAAAAACGAGTTTCAGAGATTTAATRCCTTCCCTTTCCTTTTTTCCTAAACTGTTCCATCCCCATTAATCAGTCAAATTTGTGTCTCAGATCGACATCAATCCATCTAACTGAGGTTTTCTGTGAGCAGAGGGGTGTGTGAGATGTGATAAAACAGACGGAGTGAACAAGACGGCTGGAGGAAAGATAGAGCTAACGGAGGAAGCGATGGCTCCACTTTTTATGATGTTTTTTTTCTCTCTTAGCTCCATAACAGTAATGGACGAAGTGGTCGGGAAGCTAATGGAGGAAAAAGTAAGACAGCGGGACGAGACGAGGAGGAAAAATCGATGCTACTACTCCTTCATCGGCACGGCCGTGAAGATGGACCGATCAGGTGCTGTTCGAGCCGAATTGATGGAGAATCTGGATTATTATTATTATTATTATTTCTAAATTCTTCTTTTTAAATTGCAGTTTTTAAGTGTCTGTTTTCATCTAAGGCTTGAACCCTTCAAATACTCGCTTAAAGTGTGTAAAAATAAACACCTTGTTCCTCTTTGTTTCCGTGTCCCTCCGCTGCTCTCCATGCTATCTTTAGACTTGTTAGCTCTCCCACTCCAGCTCCTCCTGCATAGATATATCTGGAAACACCTTCCTAAGTTTTCTGTCCGATCCGTCAGCCTGTTCTGTGTGCAGTAAAGCCTTCAGCTCCTCTCACTTTATTTCCACTCTTACTTTGCCATCCTCTCACTCTGAACTTGTGATTTTTGTCAGATCTCCCTGTTTGTTATATTTGTCACCTGATTCTCTCCTGCCTTCCATCACACCTGGTCCTCTGCTCTGGTTCCTTCATCACACGCCGTCGCCGGCGTGGCAGCTCTCCTCCCCGTGTATGATGAGGACGGGGAAGAAGAATGCGTCCTGGTAGGACGGAGGACGATCCCGGTCCCTCCCTTCTCCTCCCACGCTGCTCTCCTGCTCCGCCTCTTCGTCCCTCTCTCCCCTCCTGCCTTCCCTYCTCCTCACCTCCTCCTCTTCTTCGTCGTCCTCCCCTTCGAGCACCCCTCTGGTCTCCTCGTTGTTCTGTCTCGAGCCTAACCCCAGAAACCCTCCGCCGCCACCGCTGCYTCCTCCTCCCCCTACGTTGCCCGATCCGTCCTCCCTGCTGCCTCCCAGTCCTCCTCCCATGCTCCGTGAATGAAGCAAGCTGTTCTGGCGCCCGCCTCCAAGTCTCCCCAGAGAGAATCCGCTCCGGCTGAGCACCAGTCTTCCTCCGATGCCGCCGCCGCCACCGCCTCCTGGCCCGGCCGCTCTGATCCCAGCCACGGTGGCATTCAGCAGGGCCGTGGTTCCCATCGGGGCCCTCAACCTGGAGGGGAGACTGGAGCTCGACGTGGTCCGCCGACACCTGGGGCAGCTCTGCAGGAGGTAGGCGGAGTTGAAGACAACAGGGAGAGCCAGGGGGGGCGGGTGAGAGCCCTGTGTTGGGGTGACGCTCGGAGGCCCCGAGATGGGCGTGGAGGCCGTAGGGTTCGTTCCTCCACTAATGTCCAAGTCCATGAGGAGGGCCTGGGAGTAGCTCGGGACCATCTGTTGGTTGCAACGGATGTGCCACTCCAACTCTGTCATGTCCACCGTGTTGACACGGGAGATGGCTCTGTAGCTCGTCCCGTTCAGGCCCATCCCGATCCTTCCAGGATGGACCCCGTTCTCAGTCCCTCCGTCGACCCCGTCGCCTCGTCCTTGGCCCTGCCCTCCTCCGCCAACTCCACCTCCTCCGCCGACGTCCTCGTCCTCTCCGAACAGCTTCTCCACATGGTAGTGGACGTACGCCGTGCGGTGCTCCGACACCACGCGCAGCGGCCAGGACAGCAGGAAGGCCGAGGCCAGCCAGAAGACTCTGTGCCTGGAAAACCATGGTTGATGAGCCGGGTCTTGGAACGCCAGGATGTGCTCGCGGAAATCCACGTTCTTCAGGTGCATCCCCTCCCTGGCCTCCATGTAGTCRTCAAGTCCCTCGTTCTCCCCGAAGAAGCGCGCTCGCTTGAAATCAGAGAAAGAAACACAGTTACAATAAAACTTACTAAATGTCGTCCGTGTTTGTTTGCCTTACCTCAGCAAAATGTTTCATGAACTAATGGGCCTCAAGCAAGAACCGTTCGTACACACAGATTTGTTTTTAAGTTGTGCGTACGAGTGATTTAGGAGAATTTGTGGCATTCACCAATTTTCTCACATTCTAACATTTTTTTCAGATACGAACAAAATTCACGAGTGGTCCAGACATGTTGTATATTTTACGAGCAGTCAGTCTGCTGTTATCCAGACAGATTTTCTTCACTAATATTTTTATATTTCGTTAGTTTGAAGATATTTTGAGTTGAAAATAAATCACACTCTATAATTATGTTGACAATAGGTTATTCTGTTTGAACTGGAATTAGATTTTAAATGTAATAATGTAAACTAATGACATAATTTGGTTAAATTAAAATAAATTGGCTGTTAATGCTGAATGAAGTTCGGAGACATTTTAAAATGTTTTTTTTTAAAGAAACGCATCTGGCTTTTGCGACGGCCGGGTGGGGTGGGGTAGCGGTGTGTGACTGCTCTTCTTCTGAATAAATGAAAACTATGTAACACAGTTGTTTACACTTAAATTTAAAATATTTGACAAAAGGAAAACCGGAGCAGGCCTAGAGAGATTAATATGATTTAGATTTATATTTCTGTGACTGTACGACCCACAGGAGACACGACATTAACAGCAGTCATCATTTCATTCCTTTAATTCCACAGCTGACGCTGCTAAAAATGACAGATTTTCTTTTCTGGATCTCTGAGAGCAGGACTTCAATCTCCAAACTTGTATAGTTCTTCTGTTTTACTTTGCGATGTCATTTATGAATGGACACATCCTGGTATGTGGGGCAGGAAACGTAGCCTTATATGGTGTTTTTAGGGTGGTAGATTATGCTAATCACCTCTCCCTGTGCACGAGCACCTGAAACTGCATTCATCAGTTCACGCAGCTTATTTACACACTTTTCATGAAGATAGAAGAGTTTGTTGAATCTGACGTGGCATGTTTGTACGAACAAAAGGAAGAGAAATTTAGGACAAGAATGTGAACATGTTTTTGCACGAGGCCCAATGACTCTACAACTCATTACATTCTGAGGTCAGTTCAATTTAAGATGCCAACCACAGCTTATCAATCTTATGGTGCGTTCACACCGAACGCGATTTCAGCGTCAGGAGCAGCAGGTTTACATACAAAGTCTATGGTGGACGCGCTTCAAGCAACGTCGGGAAGTTCTGCGGCGCCTCAAGCGCGATTAGAGCAGCGCGATTTGAACGATTTCGTCCAAATCGCTGAAGTTAGAAAATCTGAACTTTTGCAGCTCGACGCGCAGCGTCAACCAATCAGAGAGACTCCACTGTGTGACGTAGTGACATATTTCCCGACGGGACAGTTTACTGAATGATGTCCACTAACCTGAAACAGATGGAGAGGAGCTCTTTAGCTGAAATGAGTGCTGCAGTCGTGTCCTGATCCGCACCAATGCGTGGCAGCGACTCATCAGACTGAAAAAAATAGTCCTGAAAGCGAGCTGTGAGCCTCTACTCTGAATTATCTGGTGAATTAATTATGAATTAATTATCTGATGAACGTGACACGTTCTGGCTGTCTGTAAATAAAGCAAAGCCACTTCCTCGTCCGACATTAAACAGCCCCACAGAGGAGGGAGGGGCGGGGCGGCTGTCGCCGTGCAGCGCTTCAACAACTGTCCTGCGTCTGACCTCAAAGTGCACAAGCTTCAAACTTCAGCGTTGGCTGCGATTTTGAAGCTGAAATCGCGTTCGGTGTGAACGCACCATTACACATCTCATTAATTTAGTCAATTTAACAGATAAAGATCATTTTTTGTGTGAATCATGTTCGCCACATATTTATAGCTGGCCTCTATTATTGCTCCATCTTACCTGGGTGAGGTAGGCTGCTTCAGCACGTGCACTGGAGAAGCTAAATACACACAAAAAAAAAACCCCAAAAAGGTTAAAGTCTGTTCTAACACGAAGAAAAGAACGTCTTTTTAGGATCAAGTTAATTTCAAGTCAACCAGTTTAATGGGCTCAACACACGAGAGACGACGTTGCTCCTACAAGATAGTCACAGTTAGCCATCTTGTGTGAGTTTGATTCATGCAGTTTTTTCCTTGAGAAGTATTCCACCTATTTTATCACTTGTTTCCAATACAAAACACTTGCTTTTATTTTTATTTGTTTATTGTTTTATTTTTAATGTGTGTTGCRATGACACACATTACCCTCTCTCATTTGCCGCCCCCGGTGTGTCGAGCCCATAAGAGTTGATTATTAAACGCACCTGAAACACTTGGTGAAACGAAGACGAACGGCAGGGTGCCGCTCCAGGTCCAGCAGCTGCTTCGACACGTCTTTGACGCCGTAGCGAGCGTAGTCGAACTCCGAGCTGGAGGCGTGGGTGTTCACCCGCTCGTGGTACACCTAAAGAAGAGAAGGAGGACGGCAGAGGCAARCGGCTGTCATTAGAAACGTTTTACACAAACAGAATCACAGCTGAAGTTTTACAGTGAAAGCAGGAGGACGTGTAGGTGCGCGTGTCCCACCTGTGTGGTCGTGTATGCGTCTCCATTGCGATATCTCGTCACTTGTCTGGTCCTCCGCACGTAGTGATAACTGATGGCCTTCCACCAAATACAGGGAGTGGCCTGCTGCAGTCTCTGCACGCGCTCGTACACTTCCTGACAAATGAGTTAACGTTCATTTATTTTGTTGAAAATGCAAAATTAGTTGCCTGGAAGTTTTTAGGGAATCAGAATAAAAGTGCACACAAGATGGATGGTTATTGTTTGCAAATAGTCAAGTGTGTAAAGCAGTTTCTGCTCAATATGTTGTAATAATTCATGTTTTTCTGGCAGAAGCAGATAAAAACTAAGAAAAGACAATAAGCAGCTGGAATTCTTGATAACAGATGATCAAAAAGCATTCGAGTCGAGTCTTTTCCAGATGACTGGGCAATCATTTCCCTTACAGCATTGTAGGAAATTCTACAAATAACAAAACTTGCGTTTATTTCTGCTCCATCTGGGTTTTACCTGGAATTCGGCGTGAGCTAGCGTGGCCGTCTTGGAGAAGCAGTGCCAACACTCCACCAGGTAAACCACGTACAACATCGCCAGGAAAGCCAGGGGGATGTAGACGTAACCGCTGGAGCACGGGCTCTCCAGGTGCAGGATGTCATTGTAGTACGCCGCCGACGTGGCGTCGTCGTCAGCGCCGAGCGGTACGGAGGAGGAGGAGCCGAGGACAGGCACGCGACAGAGAGCGCACCAGGCCAGCGTGGCAAAACAGCCGTACATGAGGAGGGTCAGGAGCAGGCACTTCCAGTGGGACTCTCTGCACAGAGAGGAGGCCAGAGACTGCTGGACCGGCTTTTGCTGAGGAGAAGAGGAGGAAGTTGGTTTTAGCACCAAATTCACATTTTTCTCTTTATAACCTATAATATTCTTCACGTTCAGTACTGTGCAGACGCTGTAGGCAGGTTCTGAAGAAAATATGTAAGTTCTTTTGTGGACGTTTCTGTCTCTATTCCTTCTATATCTTCATGTAACCCCAGACACACTGAATGGTGCTAAAATCAGGGTTCTATGTGGGATAAATCAGGGGTTCTTAACCTTTCTGACCTCGGGGCCCAATTTGTTGAACTAAAGTGGCATGAGGCCCAGTCAGACATTATCAATGTATGGATC